CCAACTAAATTTAATTAGATCTGATGACTATTTACTAAAGAAGAATAAATAATATATATATATATATATATATATATATACACACGTGAAAAAAAGCTTGAGTTAAAGTACCTGGTAGATTAAGTTTAAGAAAATATTTATAAACTTATAGATCATTGATATCTATGCTACAAAAAGAAAATTGATTTGACATTAAATAAATCAATAATGAATTTTTATTTTATGTGTTATTCTCTTACCATTCATGTATTACATCGATCAACAGCTGTTTAACTAACAAGATTTGATATGTTTACATTACATCAGCAACATGATCATCATTTATTGAATGGCACTAATTGTGAATAGCTTGTAAAAATATTACAAAAAATATCACTTATCTCATTCCTAAATCTCCTAGAATTTTGAATCTTAAATCTTGCTGTTTCCTGTATTAAAGTATACAATATTTACATATTTTACAATATTTACATAATTTGCAATTTTCTGAAATAATGTATTAATAATGTAATTACCCTCATTAAAACAACATTGTCCATGCATAATATTTTAACATGCTGCAGAAGTACAAGTTTTTAATTGAGCCTTCTTTTCTCCCAAGGAACACCGTCCGCCTATGCAATGCCTCCACCTCATGATTTTTCCAATTCCACAAGTAACGCTACATGTGGACCAGTTGCCCCATTGATCCCATATTTTTGGTTCTCTGTGAGTTTTGTCTGAAAAGAATAATATCAAACTAGTTATGCCACTTGTCCAATATGTATAGGACTCAAAAAAATAGAAATTTAGACAAAAAAAATCTGAACATTAAAGAGATAAATTCAAATTTTAATAATTGAAGAGAGTTAAGAGTAATAAGACTTTCTTATAATATATAAATTAAAATTATATAATATATATTAAAAGAAAACTGGATTTTATGAGATAATCGTGAATAAGTTTCAATGTTAATAATGAAGTTTTTGTTTGTGTGAGAAATTATATAAAAAAGTATTTTCTTTATTTTAAATATCTCTTATAACTTTCACTAATATAAGTCCTTTAAGAGAGAAAATGTTGAAGTTACAAGTTAAATCTGAAGTAAATGAATGGAAATTTCCATGGAAACTTCCTGATCCATTCAAACTTTGTAGCATGTATATATATATGAAGTATACCTTTCACTTATTATTCTTCATATACATTTCACACATACATGCTCATACTTGCAAAATCTGGGTTAAATCAGATTCTAATGACTAAAAGACTAATCATTCTACATTCTTTACAAGTCATAATTATTGTATCACAAAAAAGAAATTGCACAAAATATTATTAAAGAGTTGTCGGATTTTATAGGAAGCTTAGCTGATAAAAATCAATTTTTGATTAAACAATTGAGTTGATGAAAATTTCTATCCATTAACTCATTCACATTATTACAAGCTTCAGTCGTTTTTCTTAATTTACTCAATGAGAGACAAAATCATTAAAGCACGAATCTTTTTTAAATAGCAAGGCGAAGAAAATGAAATAAGTTATGTGAATTGCACATCAAAGCACTCTCGCATCGCAAGAATTTCAAACCGTAGTATATGTTGCAAGAAAGAACATTCCGTTCAAGCAATTGGAAATTTCCATCCACGCATTGCCAAATGTTGTTCATGTACATTTCGATGATCGGCATTGCGGGAAGGTAAATCTCGAACCGGTCCCGGAGAAAGCTACGATCGACTGGTGGGTACGACTTGCGATTGCACACAACTCGCGCCCACTCTTGTTTATTTATTTATTATCTTTCGTGCAGCTCATTTAATCGCGTTGATTTTAAAATCGCGAATAAATTACAATTCCTTTCATTTTATATAATCACTCAATATTCCACAAATTGATCCAATTTCGCTAAGACGAAGTGTTAATCATTAATGTTGAGTTATTGAAGTTGCAATAAATAGCTAAAAACAAAATTTATGAATCATTTAAATCAATTTATTGTATATATTGTAAAAGCATTTGATGATAATGCAAATAATAATATTCTAAATATATATATATATATATATACTATTTTAATACTAATTTTTAATACTAATTTAATACTAATTATAATCCAAATTTATATATATATATATATAAAAGTATATTTTAATTATATCTTTTAATTATAAATAATTAGTTTTATATAAAAATAAAAATTGTATTGTTTACCTGCTCGTTTTAACTGCAACCGGATGTCATTATCCTCTTCATGATCGTCATTGACATCGCGAAATGTATTATGATGATTGCGTCGAAATCTGTCCGATTTTATTTTTAATGTATCGATATTATTTTCGCTAATAGGTGCGATATTTAATAATACTTTGTCAATTTCTGGAGTGGCTTCCTTAAACGCTAAAATTGTAACATTATGTCGTGAAAAATAATGATAACAATATACTTCATATTTGAATGCTAAATATTTTACAGCAATTATACAGCAATTACCCATAAAAAGCAGAAATATAGCAAAATGAGCAGAGATTAATCGAATTCCATCCATTGATATATTTTTCGCGTTGTTAGAAAGTGTATCATTACATATGAAATGGTTGCACTGAAGTCTGCTTCAGGTTTCTTGAAGCTATTAAATTTCTATCGAATTTTGAATATGAAATAATCCGAAGTTTTAAACAAATAACAATTGTTATGTCATTATATATACCGTTGACTATAAAATAATTATAAGTCATGTAAAATAAATATTTGTGTACTAATAAGTTAATTAAAACTTCACAATTTAAGCCGTGTTTAATTTTCTTAAACATACATTCTATATATTAAGCACATAAATATACATCTTTTATATTTATTTTTCAAATATTTTCGCTATCAATATAATCTTACAAAAAGCAAATGAAAATATTATCGAAGATAATATATATGATCAGTATTTATACACTTGAATTTTTATCATTCTCAAATCAAGAGAACTTTTACTCCAAAAAGCCAGTAATAGAGACTCTTCCTGAGGCAATTTATAAAGTGATGACTTCTCTGTGCATTCTCATGACCGCTTAATACTTTCCGCATAATGATGTCGGGGAAACTTGTTGACTATTCGTAAGTCATACAGATCGTGATTTTATCCCAAGCCACCTGAGAAAACCTTCGCAATTCTTGAGATGGCAGCTTTTCAATTGCGCTTTCTTGAGACCTTTGACGCAATCTTTTGACAAACAATGACGCCAACGAACTTGTCGTCCTTGCCCACAAGTTACGCTGCATGAGCTCCAATTACTCCAAGTGTCCCATGCCTCCGAATCTATAGTGAGAGGTAAAGAAGAAAACAAAAAGATATTTCATATTCTTTTCCATTCAATGTTATTTCAAACACGCGAAGAACAATAAGGAAAATTTATTCTTGGAAATTATGAAACCCGCAAACTTACAAAATAAGAAATTTCATTTTCCAGTCATTATTAAAATCATTTTCTATTCTTTAATATATTTTTTACCGCATTAATTTCAATATGAATATCTGATTCTTTTTTATTATTTTTATATTTTTTTAAAAAATATAGTATTAGTTAATATTTCTACTATTTTAATATTATAAAAGATAGCAAAGCAAAGCAAGAACAGGAATCAATAAAAGATTAAATACATTAAGATTAATTATTTTCTAATTCTTCTCAATTATGTGTATTATTCTACATATAAATATTTCTACATATAAATATTTTAAAATAAATCTTAGATTTTAAAGATTAAAAGATCGATTTTATATAGACAAATTTTTATTTATTTGTATTTAATTATTTTTCAAATTAGAAAATATTTCTCAACTATTTCATTACCTACATCGTCATCTATTGATTCGCCATCTTTTGCAGCAATATTACGTTTTCTCTTCATTAAATTTGATATTTTCACCATGATAATATCAGAATGTATGTTAGACTTAGGATAAATTGTAGGATATTCTACAAAATTTTGTTTGTAGCCAAGCAACTTTCGCTGATAGGTCACACTAGTGCTCGTGCGAAAGTGTGGACGTAAATTTCTCTTTGTATTTTTCCAGTAACATTGAGATGAGATTATTGTCTCATTTTCTATCTAATACATAAAAATTTAGTGAATAAATCTGAAACATTTATTTCTTAACAAACGTAAGAGAGAGATTTCAAATCTAAAGTAAATTATTGCTTATAAATGTTTGACTTTCATTTTGCGAACCTGCATAAGTTTATTCACCCCTAATCGCTGAATAAAGCGGTAACATGGTTGCGAATAAATGTTCGAACGATGCCTTTCATTGCTGGAACACGTCGAACTACTATTGAGTAAATCAATAAATATGCCTGTTGTATGCCAAGATGAGAATATTTTCTTTTATAAAGAGATAAAAAATTTATTTCTCGTGTTATGAATAATAAAAAGATGTTCATATTCTTTTCATTATGTATAAAGAGTTAAATGATAAATATTTTACATATTTATATATGTAATGTATAACATAGATAATGTAAATAACAAATTTTACTTGACGGATTTATCATTCAAATCGGTAAACGACGGTACGTTGTATTCATAGTTTGGCACGTTAATCTCAAATGCTCTAACGATGTAAGACTTTGGAAAATTTAATACTTCATAAATCACGTAGCCGAAGTAATAAATATTACATGTCAAAATTAGTTTCAGTAACACTTGCATATCATATTTATGCAATAATGATTATTATATCGCGCGATTATAAACATATTATAATATCGATAGAAAGCTTCTCTTTCTGTGTCTAAATTCAAGTTTTAACATTAAATCATTCGTGTCAAAAAACAAATGCAAAAAGATTTAAATAAAAGATTAAAATTTTTTTTTATATATCGGAGAATATCTTTCTTTTATAAATTTTCACATAAGTAATAAATAAAAGACTAGATAAATAAATAATAAATAATAAATAAAAGTCAAAGGATTAAATAAATATTCTTGCAAACATAATAGATGATTATGTTAGATAACTATGCTTATTGTAAATTAATAAAGACAATAAAATAATAAAAATAATAATAATAAACACAAAAACTACAAAATATATTTTTGCAAATTATATTTAGAAATTTTAATAATCCAGATATTAAAACTGAATAAAACCGCATATTAACAATAATAAACAAATTCAATTGCAGCAAAAGTATATAAAACATTACATTATTTTCTATTTATATATACAAATACGCTATATATATATATATATAAAATATAATATATATAATAAAAATTATGCTTATAATAATAACTCATTTTGATCATAAAGTATAACTAAACGTTATTATACTACTTACATCAAACTGTCCTATTCCTACAAAAGATTATGTTTCATGAAATTTCTAACTAAATATGCACCCCTTCCCCACACACATTTATTACTTATGATTATGTATATACATATACATACAGATACACACATACATACCTCCCCCCCCCACACACATATATATATATATACTCAGTTTATAATAAAATATTTTATTTGATTGCTTCCATAGTGTACTTTAATGACGAGTCATCTAAACAACTATTATCAATTTGATAAAATTTGATTGCTACAGATAATTGTATACAAAAATATACTTATATTTAGCTTAAGCTATTGGAAGATGAAAGGCATAAAACAATTGTTAGTAAAATATATGTTAGTAAAATATAAATGTGCTTTAATTATTCCAGATTAGTATTTAAAATGTAATAAAGAATAAATAAAAGTAATAACTCAATGTAAAATACCCATGAACTGATTGTAAGATAAATTATTTAAATTTATATGTTCGTAAATTTTAATATTGATAAATTTCTGCAAGAAAAGCATTGTACTAATAAGTTGCAAATATCAGATTAATTATAACCTAAAGAAAGCTTTGTGTGCTCGACCATTTGGTATTTGACCCTGTAGTCTTAATCTACGAACAGCTTCTCTCAAGTGTTTTGGTTGTAGTGGACCAGTTTCATTCTGGGCCTCCATAACATCTAAAGCTATACAAGCATAATGATTTAGAATAAAATTTTAATGTTTCAATAATCTTTACAAGAAGAGCTTTTACCTTCTTCGACGATTTCGCCGACAAACACCTTAGCAATTCCTGACATAGCTATAACAACGTTCTGAGACACTGAACAGCCTGTTATAGTTTGCATAATCTGAAATATATTTAATATAATATAAATTCATCTTCTTAAAAATGAAACGCTCTTTTGTAAATAATAACTAAAAATAAAGTATGGTACCCTTTTTATAGCTGCTTTTGGAAATGCAGATCGTCTGTACATCTCGTATCTATTTAATTGATCTTCTGTGAAATTGGATACCAGCACTCTGTAAAAATAAAATTTTCAAGTATATTTTCAAGGTAATGTATATGTAAATTTAAGTAATTCAGACACATACTGCATCTTTTCTCTCTCTTCCTCCTCTATCTCCTTCTTACTTTTCTCCTTACTTTCTCGTCTTTCTTTTGTATTAACTGGCTTGGGCCGAGGTATCATGATATCATTACTAAATATATCTTCTGCATTCTGTTCTTCCTCTTTTGTATCAAGCTCTTGCTTCACAGATTCTGCTTGGCTCTCTATAACCAGACCAGCAGAATTGGATCCTGTGTTTTCAGTTTCTTCAGTATCCGATTGTGATTGGGAACTCATTGCATCAGACTCTATCTAAATAATAAGATCATATATAATTTACTTAAAAAAACTAGAATTTGAATTGAATTTTTTTATGAGACATACCTTCACTTGACTATTATCAATATCCATAATTTCAGTATCTTTAGATATTGAATTTTGTAGTGGATTGTCTTTGTCATCTTTAAGTTCTTCAACATTATTATGCTTATTCTCTCTTTCATCCCCGGAGTCTTCCTTTCCAAATATATTATCCATTATATTTTCCTAGCATAAAGAATTACAAGTATTATAATAAGAAATAATCCATATACATGCAAAAATGTATATTAGTACAGCATATGAACACATTAATAAATAATATTTCAGTTATCAATATTTCAATTCTTTTGAACAGCATATGAATCAACCACATAAAATAAAAATATAATTTTATATAATTCTTTTTTGTAATATTAATTTTATATAATATCATACACACTGCATAATAGTAAAATATAAAAAAATGCTTTGTAAATTTATGGAGCATACTACTCCATAGTCTGCTAATCTGTATTAATCACCAGAATGACAAAACGATCTGTCAATATCAATTTAAAATATTTTTCCACGAAGGATATCAACTTTAAATACATATAATTTGTTTCTTATAACTAAATTATACTTATTGTATTTAAAATAAAATAAATACATATTTGAAATTTGACGAAAGCAAGATAAAGAGTTTTAGTGCAGCCTAGTGCAGGGACAGAAAACAAACTTATAGTACATAACGGAGTGAGCGTCCGCGACAGGAAGCTTAGGTTAGTTTTGCTGTTTCGATTGTATCGAGATTCATTTTTTCGAGAATCGTTTCTCGAATTGCGATCAATCGTGGAACATGCCATGCAATTGTAAAATCGCGCTCGAACAACAATACATCGTTTCGTATTTCTTGTGATCATTAAAAAAAGTCTCATGTTTAAAAGATCTGGTGAGTGTCTTTTATAGAGATCGATTTTCGGGTCGTAATCGCTGTTGTAACATCGAAATCGGATATGCGGACTTTGTCAATCTGGAAATTGCGACAGCTAACGAATTTAGCATATCCGACTTCGATTGAGATTCCGCTTTGTATATTCACATTCCCTTTACGAGAGATATTATCTTTAATGCGATCGGTGCACGATTTTTAGGTATGTCTTTCATCTTGTAATATTTGTGTTGCATTCGACCTATTTTTTTATTGCTGCAGTGGACTGCACTAAAAATTTCTTTTCTATTTTCATCAAATTTCAAACATACCATATATATCTATTTCATTTTATGTATAATCGACATCGATAATGCCTTCTCATTTGAAGATAATTACTTTCAACTTTCAAGTATACAATGTATTGCATCTAGTTATTTGTCCATTATAACTGCTAAATCCAATATTAAAATATAAAATAAAATAATAATTAATAATTTTAAAATACTTAAACGTAATGCTTACGTTGAAAGTTTTTCGTTTCTATTATAAATTTTCAGAAACAATTTAATAATCATATTTAAAAATGTAGTTATAATGTACAAACACTTAGATCTTAGATGTAATATATCTCGGAAATAATTATCTTCAAGTGAAAAGGTATTATTGACTAGTATATACTAATTCTATGCTAAAGCTATAAAAACAAACTTATTATTTATCGAAAATATTTTCGCATCATTAGTAATTACCTCTTTCACAATCATATCAAGCTCTTGCTTTATAATTACTTGACTTTCTGTACTTGGACCGATAGAATTGGATTCTGTGTTTTCAACCTTTTCGATGTCTAACTCTGATTGGAAGCTCATTATATCACATTCAATCTAAAAACAAATAATAAACAATTAGTTTATTTTAACAAAAAATTAATTAGAATTTGTTTGACGAGATTTATACCTTCACTTGAATATCATCGTTATTCATAAATTCAATATCTTTAGAAACAAAATTTCTAGGACTATTTTTATCATCTTCATGATTTTTAACATCGTTACATTCATCTTTTTTATTATCACAATCTTTCTTCACAGATATATCCATTATATTTTTCTAACAAAAAAATATGATAGAATTAACACAGATATATTATTACATATATATATTATGAACATATATTAAGAAACAATATTTTAGTTTATCAACATTATATATTTTAATTTTTCAAACACCGTATGAATTAATTACATAAATATTATAAAATAAAAATATTACAACTTAATTTTTTTACAAAATATTAATTTTATAATATAATATTAGGTACACTGTAACAATAAATAAAGCGTAAAGAACGCTTTGTAAATTGTATGAATTCAATCAAATGGCAGACGAGAAATCCCGGGCAGTGCGAAGACCGTTAGTTGCGGAGACGGCCGCGCGATGGCGCCAGTATGCCGCATGGCGAGATCGTTAGTCGACAGTGTCGCGCGACGCCGAGTTTGGATATTTGTCAATATCTCTGCTCGGGATTTTCGACGTTCTGCGTGTGGCGAGCGCGCGTGCACCGCTTCGCGTAAACGCATTCCGCATGTTGCGCGCACGAGAGGAGCCATCGACAGTTTCCCGTTTCCGCGTATTCGTCGAGTGCGGTTTCTCGTTCGTAGGTCCTCCTCTGGACGAAGCGGTAGCCTCCACCTTTCTTTCTCTCCGTGTTTAACGGGCGCCCGCCGTTGCGTCGCGTCGCGTCGCGTCACATCACGTCACGTCGCGTTGCGAACCTGGTCGAGCGAGAGCGTGTTCGGGAGTGCGCGTGGTAGTAACGCGATACCTGTGTGCGGCCGCGAGTGACGATATCCCCGGGAACGGGGAAGGGGGCGGCTTGCGGCGTCAGTGACGTACCTCCTCGCGGGTAATACGCGCGGAATAGCGGCCGGGAGCGGCGGCCGCAGGCGACAACGAGGACGACGACGACGACGGTCGTGATATCTACATCCAACCACGGAGCGTCCTCCTGCCTACGAATGCGGTCCACGGCCGTGTGTTAAGATGTGAGTACACCTGTAGGTTATACGAGAGTCCTTGACTCTCCGTTCTTGGGGGAGCGAGTCGAATCGCGCACCATGACGAAAAATATGATTTTGACTGAGAGAAAGGATTCCGTTAACGTCGCACGACTCGATCACGGGGCCTCGTCAGCGATATTGTTATAAACATGGGCCGTGGGTTCTATAAGTGAGTGTTTACGTATGCACTTTGCAAACATGCGGACATAATGTGCTCCAAAATGAACGAATACACTTTCTTCCATTGAGAAACTTGGAATAAATTTTTCCTTATAAAAAAAAAAAAATATGTATATAAAACAGGAATTTAGTCGATCTTTTTTTAATACCAATACGTGATCTTATATGACAATTCGATTTCAGATATAAAGCCCGCGGGAGTTCTGAGCGATAAAATTCCGAGCGACATCCGTGAATTTTTCTCGCGGATTATTTTGGGGAAGAGTTCCTTTTATTTGACAGGCTGACGATAAACTCCAACCTCCGAACAGTTTTTCGCGAACGATTTCGGAGAAATGTGTCTATACTTCATTAATTCCCGCTAATTCTCGGACACCCTGTATAACGACGTCGCCTACGCTCGCGCGTGCATGCGCGCTAGTGTGTGTGCGCACGCCACTGCTCTATTCGATGTGTATGTGTACATGTGTTTGTATGTATCGACACATATGTGTCGATCTCTCTTTCTCTCTTTTAAATCTCTTTTGCTCCATATCTCTCTCTCTCTCTCTCTCTCTCTCTCGTAGTACCGCATTTAAGGGGGATATACGTGACAGGTACATACGCGCGCGAAACCGGTCGGCCAACACTTTGGATTCCGCTTTTTGCAAAGGGCCGATTTACTTCCCCCTGCCCCCGGTTATCCCTTACGCCACTTCTATCCTCACCCCTTTATTCCCTTCTTGTCACGGTTTCTTCTCGTCCGGACGCACTGAAAGAGAAAACGAATAGTTCTGATAACTATAATTTTGTGTATTTATGAAATTTTAAATTCCTGCAATTAGTTTTGCGAAATAATAAGAATGAAACTGAATACTAAAGAAGTATAGTAGCGCCAAGAATGTATGTGAATTTTATTGATAGTGAAATAGCGATTTAGCTATAATTAATTATATAGACTTCATAAAAATAAGATGTGACATTATATTTTTCCAATTTAGGCAAATATTTTTTTTAGATAAGCGCGCGTATAATATTATTGAGATAAGTTTAAAAACTATATTTTGACAATAATACACAATACATTCATATTTATCCAACAATTTATTACAAATATTATATGTTATTATCTTTTTATAATAATATTTATTTATTATTTTTATTACGATTTTATATTATATGTATAGCTGAGGTTTTATTTTCAAATTTTTAGTTTCTAACAACTTTTTTTTCTGAGTTTGCGATTCGCTCTCGCGAAGATGTGCATACAAAAGATATGCAATCGGAGTAGGATGCGAGAAATAGGAGAATTGAAATGTAAATACAAGAGGAGGTCAATCGAAAAAACTGGCTATGATTGAAGGATGCAAACTGGGGTGGATGACTCCCAGGAGGAGTTATGAAGAGATGCTGTCTAAATGAAAAATATTTGTTGAGGATAAATATCAACGTGCCTGAGTGTATCCGCATTGCGTATCCGATACTTATCTGTCGTTACCTTTGTTTGTCTCACGGATGATTAAATGGGCTTAATTTTTATCTGTCTTACAAAGTCATTTCCAAACTGAAGAATTATCATGCCGAATTCGTACAACGACACCTGAACGTCATTATTCATTATTTGGAATTATGAAATTCTATATACAAATTACAATCGCGTACGCAATTCTTTATTTGCATTTGTTTAAGTTATTAAATGTCAGAAAAAGATATGTCTAAAAGATATGTAAAAAAATAAAGTAAAAAAATAAAAGTAAATTAAAGAAAGTAAAATAGCTAATGGTTAAGACTGAATTTAATACATTTATTCGTAGTTCAACATGACATCAACATTCAATTTTATATTTACAAATTAATATTAATGACACTGTACAAATTCCTAAGTCGAATTTAACATAATTAACAACTAAAAGAACCAAGGAAGCAACAAGCAAATACATCGGATTCATTCAATCCAATTTAATCAATTTGGGCTTAGACTCGAGAGACGAACGAAGATTAAGCGCGATTCATACGGAAGCGTAGCTCTAAGCGACAACGCCGACGAAGAGAGCTCTCTTCGATTCTCAGTCCTTATCATTGGACCACCCTGAACGCGTATATATCTCGAACGTTGCATCTACCTGTCGACGTATAAGGCGCACACTGTCTGGAGGGACACAAAACTGAAGGTGGATGGTCGTTGGCCGGGAGAGAAACGACCTGAGTCTCGACACGCGGACGAGAGAGGACGAGAGAACGGAGGAGACGAGGAATGAGCGAGAAAGAGAGAGATGCAGAGAGAGAGAGAGAGAGAAGAGAGAGAGAGAGAGAGAGAGAGAGAGAGAGAGAGAGAGAGAGAGAGAGAGAGAGAGAGAGAGAGAGAGAGAGAGAGAGAGAGAGAGAGAGAGAGAGAGAGAGAGAGAGAGAGAGAGAGAGAGA